TCGTTTGGAGCTTCTGTTGTGACACAGCTTTGATTCAGAAAAGGAAACAAGTTCCTTTAATCAACAAAAAACGATAAACTGCTAAACCTGCAGGATTTTACTCTAATGAGTTTATTATCAGCAAATTCTGACATCTAACTTATGGGAAACTTTGTGTGAAAGTTTCCAGTAATTAGAAGAAAGAGTAAAAAGGACCTAAAATTGGATGTTAAAAATTCAGAGTCAACCTATTTTACTCTAAATAGAGTATTTACACCTTTATTGAGTAAAAATCAGCTCCAGTGTTGAAGTTAATAATCAGTGAAAAATGTCACCTCCATGCAGTGTAACTGTTACTCTATAAGGTGTCGATTATCCGCCGGTTTCTAAGAGGGCGTCTGGATTTAGACAATAAAATCAGTAAAGTTAATTCTGGAAAGTTCATACTTTATACAGATTAAATTTGACACTAATTTGGAGTTGGACCAAAATGTTATTTTAAATAGAGTTGTATTAAAGAAACCCTTTTTTTTTTTTAAATCATCCAGAGAACTTTACAGATTTATCTAAAAAAAGGAAAAAAGGAGCTGATGAAAAAGGTTCAGACATTGACTCCACACCGATGTGATGGAAATAGTTTTATTTTTAAAGCTTAACTATGAAACAGGCATAATTTAGAATTTTTTAGATTGATTTGCTTGTTCGATATCAAGCTGTTCCTTTAAATATGGAGTGAATTCTATTACACTTAGTTCACCGGTCTCTGTTCAGACTCAGAAGAGGTTTTATGAGACAGAAATGTTAATATGCAATAATGCCTTTTGTTCCACCACGAGAAAAGTTTTTCTTTTTACAAAAATAAAAAAAATAAAATAAAATAATAATAATAAACTGTTTTTATAGACTTGCCGTGTGAGAATTTTAGAAACAAAAACTTAGAGACTAACTCTGTCAAAACCCACTATCTGCAATAATCCAGGCTTTTAAAAGCAAATTTTGTTTATTTGTACCTAAATGTTGTTTATTAGTTATTTTAGCAACAATCTTATGGACATTTGCTGCCTCAGTCACATACCATGTTCTACTGTCATTCCAAGAAAATGTCAAATAGACTCTGCATCTCATCATTTTTAAACCTCAGTCATGGACAAAAGATCATAGCAAATCTGCCTAATTCCAGAAATGATGCCTTGTATTTCATGTATTTCATAGATTTTTTAAAAAAGATTTCAATAAATCATGCATTTAATATTTTAAAATACAATTTGAAACAATAACATTTGTTCTCTATTTACAGAATCCTCTCCAATTAAAGCTGAGTTTTAAATTTTTCAGTAAAACATTTATGTGTAAGTTAAACATGAATTCAAAAACACTCATTTTAATTAAACCTTAGGTATTAAGAGAATAACTGCTATAAACTCTTTATTTATTCTTTTTTTAATCTGAGGTCTGCATTAATGAGGATCGGCGTCTGACCTCCACAGTCGATCATGTTGTATTCGTTTGGTCGGTCCAGAGGCCAGCAGTCATACTCGCTGTTATCCAGGTCGTGCCAACAGAACGCAGGAAGGACTCGCAAAACACAGACCTGGAAGAAGAGACACTAAAACACATCAGTGAGAATAAAGAGAGAGAAACATCTGATGATGATGGATTTAATAAAGACATTTATGCTTTAAACATTTTAGAAAACTAAGAACAATAACATGATGCTGCTGAGCTACAAAAACACAGAGAATAAAACCGTTCAGATTCAACCTTAATAATAACTAATTAAACACAAAATTTCCTCCAAAAAACTTGCAGCCAGTATTATTATATTTTTCTAATAATAATAATAAAAGCTGAGGATTTTTTCTTACCCACAACAGAAACCAAAGTCTCTGTAGTTCCTTCATGCTGCTGATGCTCCACTGACAGACCAGGAGATCTGAAGCTCCCTTAACCTCTCAGTCTGATGATGATGATGATGAAGCCAGAACAGAGAACATCAGCCTGCAGCTGATGAACCCTCACTGCCCTCTGCTGGTTGAAACAGTTACTACACTGTGTTTATAAAATATTAAGAGGCCTTAGAGGTTATTAAATAGTACTTTATAGTTTTATCCAATTCCTAAAATGACTGAGGATTAAATTACTTATCATACTATTAAAAATAAGAAGAATATTTTGGGTAAATGAAACAGATTTGTTGCTCTGGAACAGTTTAAGAAGAGGATATCTGCAGCAGTCCTGGACCAACTGTTAGATTGTAGATAATCTAGATGCTTTAATCTGAGAATAAAGGAGAACAGAAATACATCAGTTACAAATATTCAGATTATATCTCCTCTGGTCCTGTTTCTTTTCATAGAAACTGATTTTCTATGTCAGGTAGGAACAGAGGAGAACAGTGAACCCCTGTCTGCTGATACCTGGTCAGTTTGGTGAGGCCTACTTTCTGCTGACTGCTTTAAACTTGTGATGTTTTGGGCTGATCGCTGCTTAAACCTGCTGGTTTTTATACTGCTGCAGAATATGGATGGCTGTGTTCCTGTCAATTTGAAGATTTCGATGCCAAAATAGAAACTTAACTGCAGCTGGGACCAAAGTTGTAATTAGAGGGTGTATCAACATTGTTCCCCTGCTCAGCGACTCAGTTTGTAAAGGCGCTAACGGGGATGTTTTTGAAGTGAATGTAAAAAAAGTTTTTTTTTAAATTGCTTGTGAAGCGCATTAAAACATCGGTATTCATATATAAAGTAGAGCACATAAGGAGGATCCTCAGTTTGAGTTTGTGTCCTTCATAAAGAAAGTACCCCTGGTTCAGTGATTCTGTTTAACTGTTTCCTTTCTCTGCTGTTGTGGGAAAAAGACATTCAACTGTGCAATCCAGTTAAATAATCCCTTTTATTATCTTTTACAAAAAGAGAACAAGACAATCACCAGTTAGCACACTGACTTAAACCCTTCAGACGGGGTGTGAAGGTTGTCAGAGCGCAGTTAATCAAAACAATCACAGACAGTTGGAGAAAACAGTAAAATGTTATAAATAAACCCAAAGTTAGTTATGAGAAGGATGAGTTTATCTCAAACATTCCCTAATAGGATAAACAACTCCTCTCCCTTAGACACTCTCTAGCCTTGCAGCTCTGAGACCTGAATTAATGATTTTATCAGTAAATGTAAAATCATCACTCATAAACCAATATATATGAAAAAGAAATTAATACCACTCTAGTCTCAGTCATTTATTGAGCTGTTGCTGTTTTTAATTCTATTTTATTCTGGATCAGTGCTTCCATGTTTATTTGTGTCTATTCCTGAAAGATAGATTTTTTGCCATTCATGTGGGGATAAGGGTCTTGCTCAGGGATCAACCGGGTACTTGCAACCTTCTCAGAGCACAAGCACCCTGCTCTAACCCACAAAGCAGCACTCCCCTGTCATTAGGCCAGTCATAGCAGTAGTGCTCACCCTGATTTTACTGGGATATTTTTCCAGTTCACAGTCAGTTGATATCCTCCACTGTCGCCATATGCTTTTGCTAGAAAGGAAACATCTTTGCTTTCACTGCTTCATCTTTCAGTTTAAATATGACTGGTTGGGTAGATATTCATTTGGATATAATTGGATTTTAAATATGAACTCATTTGTCTAAAAAGCTTTAAAAAGCCTGAGGAAGTGTTGATTAAACCCCTTTAAAGGATTAAAGCTGCTCCAGACGCCATAAATAACCCAGATACAGTGTTCTGCTCTGTGTGGGTTAACTAGAACATAATTACAGAGCAGTCTGCGGTTCTATAACTGTTCAGTGAGTAATGGGGCCGGGGGCAGGGAGGGAGTCCTGGGGGTTCTAAGGTTCCCGGTTCCTCCCATCTCTGGGGTTCGGGTTTCACGCGGCTGTCAGTGTGAAGGAACACCCGGACCAACCGCATGTTTCCCGCATGTTCAGGCAGAAGCGACATGTTCCAGTGAGGAAACAACAGAAACAATCCAGTTTCTTTGTTTTAATCCATCCGGCACGCGACTCTCACCGGTACTACTGAGCGACCAATCACAGCCGGCGCGAGGAGACGCTGCCGCTCTGCACGCGGTGCGCGCGCGCGCTGCTCCCGCTGCAGCTCGCGCTCAGCCGACAGAGCTTGATCCACAGAGGAGCAGGAATGAAGCTGCTTTTTAACTGGTTTTAATGGTTAAACTGGTTTAGTTAAACTTTTTAAGGGGCTCCATCTAACCTGTTCCACCTCCACCAGCCGCTGTTTAATCCACAGGATGCATAGAGCTGGATTAGACCCTGATATCCAATAGAACAGAGACAACTGGGATTATTTAGGGGGAAATCTCCCCGGTCTCTAAGAAAGGAGGATGCTGGTCCTGGTTCTACTGTCCTGGTTCTGGGTGCTGATCCAGGGACAGAGTTTGGACCATGACAGGTATGTTGGTCTTTGTTACTGTCTTTATTTGGCTGGAGTTGGGTTATCATAACTATGTCAACTATCAAATTATTTTAAACACAGTTTTATGATTAAAATAGTTATTAATCATAAAGTTATTTAATAAAGCCTAACGATGAGCTGTTTTTCTATTGCATTTCTGCAGTTTTATAGCAGTTCATTTAAGTTTTTCTCAAATTTGAAATGTTCTATTTTTTGAGTCTGTAGTTTAAAAGATATATAAAAAAAAACACAAATAATGCAAAAATATTTGAATATAAATGCAAGGCTACTAAAACTGAATATTGACCCAAAGGAGGAATTCTTTTTTACATTTAGCTGAAATAATTGAAACTGGGATCATTTGTAACAGATCCACTCAAACTACTGAATGAGATTAAAT